CACCACACACACACACACCACACACACCATACACACCACACACACACCACACACACCATACACACACACCACACACACACACCACACACACCATATACACACACACCATACACACACACACACACACACACACACACACACACACCTGGTCACTTGCACCATTCCAAGACAATCTAGGCATTTCTCTTTCAGATCAAGAGGCCACCCTCATTGCTCCATCAGGAACAAAGCAAGGCCGTTGTGTCCGATCTTGATTCTACATGAGTCGATGGACAAGATCTGTACTGTGTTTGGAATCATGGGTCACTGACCCTCTAGAGAGAAAAAAAACTTATTAAAGTTCATGTATAACTAAAAAGCACCACATACTAATTTTTTAGCTGGGCATCTGGGGGAGTTCCTTTGTGCTGGTACAGAAGCCTGTGCTCTCACTTGGCTTTTTGCCACTCCAGGCTGGCGCTCTACCGCTTGAGCCAGACTTCCACTTCCTTTAGTTAGGTTTTCTGGTCAACGTTTATTTCAGTTGTGTTTAAAGGATTTTTTTACTTGCTTAAGCCACATACTCTGTATCTCATACATAGGAATTAGAATAATATATTAATTACAGTATACATTAAAAGTATATATTTAATTCATATCATCATCTACTTAGGAAATTCAGAAGGGAAAGAAGAAAAAATGATAAGTGAGAGTAGAAAAAGAGAGAGGGGAAACTGATAAGGTAAATGGGAGAAAGTGACAGAGGGAAAGGAGAAAGAATGAATGATGTGGGGAAGAAGAGCATAAGAGCAGGAGGAGAGGGAGAAGGTTCTTGCTGACAGCATCATGACTCAGGTTTCAAACACTAGACTGCCCACCAGAAGCCAAAGCACAGCAGGGAAGTCTCTCAGGATGATCCAGCTGCCTCATACTCTAACATACACTTGCCATTTGGGCCATAGAGGTTGACCTAATGGAGCCAGGTCCACCAAGACCTAGTAGAGCACTGTCCACCAAGAGCAAGCATTAGCTCCATTTTGCTCCGCCTGTTTCATTCCTAGTAAACTCCAGACTTACTGCATAATTCCCTACACTTTGTATCATCAGGGTGGCAACAAGGTACTATGGAAGAGTGGTACCATTTGTGGAGTAGCTACTTGGACCCTTGAGGCTTCACACATCATTGAATCCTTCAAAATCCCTACAAAGAGGAAAAGGTCATTCTGTGCACATGTCTCCACCCCATCTCCCCCTTCCTCTACCACATGCACACACCAGGAAACTGAATTACAGAGCAGTAAATCCATTTACCCAAGAGGCTGTAGCTTGTTTACACATGGCAGAACTAGCCAACAGGCTTTCTACATACATCACTCCAAAGACCCTGGCCTGTCCACTCAGCCATGCCAAGGTGGAAACTCCAGAGTAGGGAGCAGGAGACTACTCACACTCTCCTTTCAGGGGACTATGCCTGGCTGTGTTCACTGACTGCAGGGGAAGCGACTGTGACAAGGTGGAGGTTGAGGCCTAGAGAAGAGAGATGATCAGGGGCTGTGTTCAAGGAGCAATGGGAAACTGCTGAATTCTTGTTCAGTCAGGCAAAGGTAGTGCCACATGCTCCTTGCCATTCACAGGCCTAGTGTCCTAGGGCGGTAGTGGAGCCTTTCCTGGGAGTCACTTATTTGTTTTGATTTTTCTTTCTTTTTTCAGACTGCAAATATACTGTCCACCAACGCTGTGTATCCAAAAACATCCCCGGGTGTGTCAAAACGTACTCAAAAGCCAAGAGGAGTGGCGAGGTTGGTGATTCCTATTGCCTTGTTCTACTGCATGTTGCATTGAGGACATGTCCATCACCCTGGACCCCTGGGTGGGAAGAGGCTCTGGAAGTTTTCTCCAGTCCCTTCTCTGCTTCAAGGATCACTCCCAATCCATCCCTTTCATCCATCTATCCACCCAGCATCTCCCTGGTGTTCACCACGTGCTAGGCCCTGTACTAGAGGCTGCACAGGTAATAAGAGATGGTCCCTAGGCTGTTCAAGCCCTGGGAGTTCAACCAGGAGACAGAGTTGTGTAAGTAAAGTGCAAAGTAGCAAGGCGACTGCCATCACAAGGCTGCATGGACCACGCCCTTGAAGAATGGAAGCTAAACCCATGAATGTTCCACAAGGAATGTGGCATCTGAGTTGTGTCTTGAACTCCGGTCAGGAGTCTTAGTGAGGCAGCCAGGAGGCAGTGTGGCTTATTCTGGGATCTGCTCTTAGTTTGTTGTGGCTAGTCCAGAGGACACGTAAGGAGATGGGACAGGAGGTGTGTTCCAAAGGGGGTGAGATCTGTACGTGGAGATGATGGTTACGAAGAATTACAAAGAAGTTTTCTGGGCAGTGGAGAACCACTGATGAGCTTCAGAGATGCAACGTTGGCTGTGTTTGCTAGCTAGGTGAGTTGTTTCAAGCATGGTTTAGGAGAGAAATCAAAAGGAGGAAAAAAATATCTTGTAGTAGTTAAACCAAAGGTAGTGCTGCCAGTGGGGTAGGTCTGCACTCAGCACTGCAATCTGATCACGGCTACATCTACGCTGAGCATCCCCTGGGCCCGGCCAGTCATTGAGTATTTTGACTGAGGCACTGATGAAAGTACAGAAGACAAAGAGAGGATTGGAGAGGTAAATTAGAGGTACTGGGGAGGTGGACATAGAGGAGGAAGAGAGAAGGAATGGCTTGCAGGGTTTCTAGCTTGCCATTTGGGTAGTTCCATTTGCTGAGCTTGGAAACAGATTGTCCTGAAAATTAGAGGAGGGGCCGCTCTGCCTTACTGCAGAGGGAAGAAGATTAGGAGATATTGAACAGGCAAAGGTTGTGTCCAGCTCTCCTACAGAAGCACCTGGAGAGATAAGATTGTTCCAAGGACTCCTGTGCATGCCCCATACATACTGCATGGCCTCTCCTCCTCTCCCTTCCCTGCCATACATACCCCCTCCATGCCCATGCCTTCTGCCAGGACCAGATGTGCCTCCCGGGCTCAAGCCCTTGCCTATAGCCTGGCCACCTGTCATACAAAACAGAGTGAGGGACCAACAAGGCACACTCAGAACCTCCAGAGCCTGTAGGGGTGACCCAAGTCCCTCACCATCTCTTCTGATCCCCACCCCCACCCCGGAGTTTGGAGAAAGCATCATGGTGCCAGAAAGACAAATCTCGACTTGGAGTCAAAAGACCTGGGGATGTGGCCCCACTTGGCCACTTATCAGAAACTGGGGGTCAGTCACTTAACCTCTCAACTCCTCCCACTGCTGAAATAATAATAATAATAATAATCTCAGAGTAGATTCAATGTGATCATGTAGATGGCAAATCAATAAGCAAACTGAGTTCTTTATACCATTTATGGTACAGGGCAGAAGGTGAGAAGCTACTCACACCTCTTTGGGAGCAGTAATTTTTATTTTTACCAAAGTCATCTCAGAATAGGAGGTATTAGCAATTTAATTGTTAAGGAATTTTTGAACATTTATTCTTATTTCATAGTAACATGGATAGTATCACAGAAATAGTTCATATGTTTTTCAGTTGGACATTTCTGTCTGCGCCCCAGATTCCTCCCTCCAAAGCCCACTTTCACTTCTTTCTACAGTTCAGGATCCCTTGATGGAAATTTCTGAGAAGTTCTGTGGAATTCCAGGAAGAGACCACAGGCTTGCAGGCAGAGGGCCTGCAACCACACTTCAACCACATTTATACAGCCATACCCAGACACCCCCATCTACCTGCTCTGGTGGCATTGTCTGGCCAGCAAGCAGAAACAACCAGCTGTCCAAGGAACTGGTGGGAAGGGCACCCACAGGATCATTGCTAATTTTTTGTACTCTTTTCTTCTGGTACTGGGTCTTGAACTCGGGGCTTAGGCATGGTCCTTTCGCTTTTCTGCCCAATGCTGGCTCTCTAACCACTTGAGCCACCGCTCCACTTCTGGCTTTTTTTTTTTTTAGTGGTTAATTAGAGATAAGAGACTCACAGACTTTGCTGTCCCAGAATGGCTTTGAACCTTGATCCTCAGATCTCAGTCTCTTGAGTAGCTTGGGAGTACAGATGTGAACCACACCAGCTTCTTTGGACTTTTGAATCTAACTTCCTCTAGAACATCCGAGGCAGTGTAAGTCATACCAGTGATGCAGCCCATCCCATCCCTACAGACTCTAATATGTTTGGAGTGTGGGGTAGGTGTAGTACATTCGGGGAAAAAAAAAAACATAGGTTGTTTTAATGTAAGGCTGAGGAGGGAGAAGGGAGCTGCCATACAGGGGGTCCTGTCAAAGAGTAGGGACCATTCTGGAGGCCCTTCCACCCAATGCTACCTCATTGCATCCTCCTAGCAATTCCAGATGGGGAACTTATCCTTCCAGTCTCTACAGATGAGGGACCTGAGATTCTCGGTGTCTAGGAACTGGCCAAAAGATGCATGATCCAGTGCCAGATCAGTGGCTCCAGCCCGCTGCGTTTGCGGTCTTCAGCCCTCCCATGCCCCCTTGTACCTCGGAGCCTCCCAGAAAAGGCACAGCACTATGCAAGGACTTCTTCAAGACCAGACAGATGAGCGTGCACGTGCAGGATGAGAGGCTGCTTAGATATTCGCCTGCCAGGGTTGACAAGCAGTCCAAAGTTCAGGAAAACTGGGTTCGAATCTATGACTAGCGCTAGGTAGTCAGGCAGAGAGAGACTGAGCAACCAGGAAACAGGAAACAGTCTCCTCTGGCCCTGCCACTCCCATGCGCCTCCCAGCCCCATCTCCAGCCCTGGGCCCAGGGGTGTGGTTCTGCTGCCTTCCCTGGTATCCTTCCCTTCCCTCCCACAGGTGATGCAGCACGCATGGGTGGAAGGGAACTCTTCTGTCAAGTGTGATCGATGCCACAAAAGTATCAAGTGCTACCAGAGTGTCACCGCGCGGCACTGCGTGTGGTGCCGGATGACGGTGGGTTGGTGCCCAGGGGTGGCTCTGCTTCTTGTCAATGTGGGGTCTTGCTTAAGCTTGCAGCCTGGGACCAGTGGACATCCCACCAGAGGATAAGAGCAGAGCTGAGGCTAGGAGGCTAGCAGTGCCCCCAAAGTCCTTACTTGGTGCCTCCGATTCTAGCCATGCTCCCGTGAATCACCAAGCTTCCCAGGGACAGGGCACCTCAGAACCAGAAGAAAGAGGATTGCTGTGAAGAAGCTGGCCCAGCCCCTGCTTACAGGGCCAGGCAGCTAGGAACAGCAGCCTAGGCTGTGAACTTCCTTTCCCTGGGTATCACCTAGAATGAGGAGTACTGACAGAGTAGAAGAGGAATTAGATACTTGAATGCCTGCTCCTTAAGGTCTCAGAGGAAGACAGATACTTGCCCTAAAGGTACAGTAGTTCCCCTCCTTGGCCCAAAGGCCTGTGCCTCCCACCAACCACAATGGAGGCCAGAGTACATAGACCCTCTGGGCACCAAGAGCATAACTGGCAGCCAGTGAGCTGCCAATCTACCTGCCAAAGCCACCTGAAGGCCTCCTGAGCAGGGATCAGCCACAAAGAACGGGTTTCCCCACACCAGTCTGCAGAACTCTGCAGGTACAGAGGCTGAGTGCTGGGCTTTACTTCTAGCCTCCCATAATGAACACATTGAGGGCTGGAGATATGGCTCAAATGGTTAGAGCACCCACTTCAGCAAGCATGAGGCCCCAAGTTCAAACCCTAATGGTGCCCTCAGAAAAGGTTTATCCATCGAGATCTTCTTCCTTCTGGGGTGCAAATGGAGGAGCAAAACTCCAAGGGTGTTTTGGAAGGGCCTGGGGCTCAGGACTTCCTTGCTCCAGTAGCCACGGGCAGTTCTTTTTCTCATCTCTCTGTGTGTGGCAGACACAGTACCCCTCAGCACACACCCACATCCACACACCCAGAGATCCTGCCAAGGGCAGCAGCACATCGGGATGTGGGGGGCGTTAGACAGCTGCCTCCCAGACAACCTCTGGACTCTCCTCCTTGTTGTCTTCTTGGTCACTTCCCCTCATTCTCTTGTCCATTTAATCCCTCTAGTTCCACCGCAAATGTGAATTATCAACATTGTGTGATGGTGGAGAACTCAGAGACCATATTTTGCTGCCTACTGCCATATGCCCTGTCACCCGGGTAAGTGCTCTCCCAACCCCAGGTTCCTGGATCAGATTTAAGTGGCATTCAGAACTTCACATCTGTTAGAGACTTTTCCCAATGTGTGTGTGGGGGGGGGTGTATATGTGGTGTGGGGAGGGGTGTATGTGTACGTGCACACGCCAGTACTGAGGCTTGAACTCAGGGCCTAGACGCTGTCACTTAGCTTTTTCATTCATGGCTGGTACTCTACCAGTTGAACCACGTTACTACTTCCAGCTTTTGATGTGGTTAATTGGAGATCATCTTCATGGACTTCCCTGCTCTGGTTGGCTGTGAACCATCATCCTCAGATCTCAGCCTCCTGAGTAGCAAGAAGTACAGGTACCCAGCAGCCATCCCAACACTTCTTAAGAGTTGTGCTTGGTGTAAGTTGAAATAGATCAGCACTGCACCAGCCAGACTATAAAAGAAATGCAATTTTAGGTATCAATTCCAAGTGGCCTATCAAGAAAACACATTCATTCTCAGAATTTGCAGCTTGAAGACCTAACCCCCAACCTTGACCCCCCCACCCCACCCTGCACATGTCAGGCCTCCCAGCCTCTTCCCTGTTAACCTCTCTCCTATGTCCAAATGGGTCTCCCTCTACTTTGAGGGCTTCCTCTGTGTGTTTCAGCCCTACTTGGAATAGAAAGAAGCAAAAATAGACTCTCTTTCCCCCATGTAAAATTTCTTCTGCCTCTTGTATATCTAACAAGAACCAACTAAACCCCCTTCTCTTTCCAAGTCCCATTGGCTCCTCATATCTCAGCCTTGACTTGACTAGCTACTTCTTCATTAAAAGAAATAACATTTGTCAGTATCTACTAAATTGGAAATACACCAATTCTGTAACCCAACAATTTTCTTTCTGTTTGTCTATCTGGGAGACATGTACAAGAATATTTAGCTGGGCATTGGTGGCTCATGCCTGTAATCCTAGCTACTCAAAAGGCTGAAATCTGAGGATTGTGGTTCAAAGCAAGCCCAGGCAAGAAAAGTCTGTGAGACCCTTATCTCCAATTTAAAAAAAAAAAAAACACCAGAAAACCAGAAGTGGCACTGTGGCTCAAGTAGTACAGCACTCACCTTGAGCTGAAGAGCACAGGGACAGCACTCAAGCCCAGAGTTCAAGCCCCACAACTGACAAAAAAAAAGAATATTCATAGCAACTTTATTCATAAAAACATCCAAAATCTGGAAGCAATCTAAATGTCATACTGAGAGAGGAAAGTGGAGGCTGTGTAGTATGTAGTATTCATGCAATTGTATTGCATTCAATGGGACAGACAAACTATGCTTGGATACAAAAACAGAGATTCTCAAAGATATATTGCTAAACTGCAAGAGGGAAGTCCAGCTCAAAAAATAAAGGCATGTTCAGTTATTCCATTTTTATTAAATCCAATTCAAAGACAGGTATCAGAGTCACAAAGGAGTTAGTTACAGTTTGGAGAGGCAGCATTTAAAAGGGTGTAAACATATCTGAAATTCATCCAACTGTACTGTACATGAGATAAACCTTTCTAAAGAAAATAATAAACCTTGAAAAAAAAACAAAACTAAGATCAACAACATTATCTTGTATCATTAGATTATGCCAGAAAAGTGTAAGAGACTTTACTTCTTAGCCAGGCCTCGTGGCTTATATCTATAATCCCAGCTACTCAGGCAGCAGAGATCAGGAATACCCTCATTCAACTCCAGTCCACACAAAAAAAAAAGTTAGTAAGGCCCTGTTTCAACCAATAAGCTGGGCTCGGTGGGATGCATCTGCGATACTAGCTACCCTGAGGCCATAAGTAGGAGGATAGCAGTCTGAGGTTCACCCCAGGTAAAAATACTAGACCCTTTCTGAAAACATAACTGAAGCATAAAGGGCTGGAGGCATGGCTCAAGTAAAAGGAAGCCTGTCTATTAATCACACGGCCCTGAATTCAACTCTCAAGACTGGGGGGAAAAAAAAAAACTTTGCTGCTCAATCAACAAGCTAGATTTCTATCTAATATCAGTACTACTCTCCACCCTCATGATCTTGTCTACCTATGTCTCAAGGTTAATATCAGAATGAGTAAGGAAGAGATCTAGAATCCTAGAGAAACACAAAAGGGTGTGTTCTTTTTCTGAGATCCCAAGTCCCACTTTGGAATATTCCTCACATTGTTCTAGCTCTAGGCTCTTTGTTGATATTCACCATTTGTTTTTCATCCAGTCTGATGTTTTATATCAGGCTTTCTTTTTTTCCATTCAAAAGATGCCTCTTTTTTGGTGGGTTGTGGGGCTTGAACTAGGGGTCTGGGCACTGTCTTCAGCTCCTCAGCTCAAGGCGAGCGCTCTACCACTTAAGCCACAGTGCCACTTCCGGTTTTCTGGTGGTTAATTGGAGATAAGAGTCACATGGACTTTCCTGCTCAGGCTGGCTTTGAACATCATTCTCAGATCTCAGCTAGGATTACAAGTGTAGCCACTGGTGCCCAGCTGATGCTTTCCTTTTCTCTTCTCACAGGATAGGCAAGGTGGGAAGGCTGAAGGTGGCATGGCGGCCAAGGCCGAACTTGTCATGCAGGTACTTAGTGATCTTCACGTCCAACTGCTTGTTCTAAGTGGGTCCAGGGCTATGGCGGGGAGAACAGGGCTCAGGCTCTGAAGAAATGTATCTCAACGTTGGCTTTCTCATCTAATCCATTCTGTCACACAGGAGGACACTTTATTCCTGGCCTCTGGAGTTACCTTTGACCTCCACACTGTAGGCAAGTGGTGAGAAGGGAGATTGGCTGATCCATTGCTGGTCTAATTGGCTGTATCACCTCTTTATGAGCGAGTTACATTAAAACCTCAATGTGCAGACCTCCTAAATGATAACAAAAGTGTGGCACAAAAGCAGACAATGGGTTTTCCAGGATTGCCAGGCTGACACCAGAACATCCTCTGACAAATGATGCTGACCAGATCCCAAAGTTCTTCACCCTCAAATGTGTATTTAAAAACTCATTTTTCACTCAGGGTCTTCAATGGGTATCTTTCCTTTATGCCTTACCTGAAGTTCGAAGGGATGCAGACAAGACAGCAAAGAGTACTAGAGTACTCAAGAGTACTAGAAAAGAAAGTCAAAAACTGGAGCCTAAGCTTCATGGCACTGCTGTACCCCGTGAGTGCTGGACATCCCAATGAGAGCCTGTAGATTTAGTGTTTTGGACATTGAAATAGAACCATGGTAAGGAACTGCAGTAGCAAGCCACCTAGAAAGGCAGCAAGTCACATGGAACACACACACACACACACACACACAGGTATACCATCTGGTTGGGTTGAGTCTGTCTGACTGAGCATGGTCCATGCTATAAAGGCTGTTTGGTATTTTGAACATCACACTCCCAGACACAGGAGCTAACTCCTCAACCTTCCAGATGCTTCCAAGTGTCACGCAAGCAGATGAAAATAATTCTGAAAAATCATAACCAATAGCTGGACACACACCTGTAGTGAGAATCATAAATAGGAGGATCAAGGTCCAGGCCAGCCCAGGGAAAAAGTCAAGACCTTTTCTCAGAAATAACTGGAGCACAAAGAGCTAGAGAAATGGCTAAAGTGACTTGAGATCAAACCCCAGTGCCACCAAAATAAAATTATAAAAATGCCAAACAAAGTTATTGTACTTTTCGATATATTGTATGCTGTGTTTGCTGGATTTGTAGTCTGAGATCTAGCAATGAAGGCATTAGATATTAAATATAGAGCAGAATTGTATGTCTGTGTCAGAAGTGACAAGAGTGGATTTTGAGAGCCCATCCGTGTGTGGTACCATGAGACCCATCTCCTCCTGAAGCAGTTAGAGTCCATTTGGTACTTTCAGACACTTACCACAAAAAAGTAAAAATAGAAAAACAAACTCAAATACAGAAGTTAATTCAAGTGTCTTCGTTTCAGTTGTCATGACCAAAGGAACAGGATGGCTTTGTAATTGGGCTCCCAAGGATGAGTTGTTTCTGTTTTTTCAAGTGTGGAAGTAAGCGTTTAAAAATATAGAATAGGAGGGCTGGGAAGGTAGCTCAGTGGTAGAGCGCTTGCCTTGCATGCCTGAGGCCCTGGGATCAATTCCTCAGCACCATATAAGCAAAAAGAAAAAAAGCTGGAAGTGGTGCTGTGGCTCAAGTGGTAGAGCACTATCCTTGAGCTGAAGAGCTGAGGGACAGTGCCCAGGCCCAGAGTCCAGGCCCCACGACTGAACCCAAAAAAAAAAAATATGGAATAGGAAAAGAAACCAGTTTGAATCAATATGTGAGAGAAACTTAAAGACACTCATTCACTGGAAGGTTCCAGCCTGGTTTGGCTGGACTGTGGTTGAGATCTGGGAGAAATCAGTAGGTAGCTGTAGAAAAGGGCTACAAACGAGAAGGCCTGGAGAAGGTTCAGGGGTTAGCATTTTATTTTCGGTGCAATGAGGTGTCCTTAGACATATCTGAGAAGGAGCAGAATGCTTAACATGGTGTCTGGGAAGGACCTACGTGGTGACAGCATACCAGATTCCCCCAGGGAATTATGGGGATCATGACAGCTGCTAGAGAGAAGGAGACATTTCAGGGAAAGATTCACTAGGCCAAGAGTCTTCCCAGGTGACCAGATGACTAGCCGTGCCTTTGAAGGAAGCAGGAATCAGGAGAGAGGCGCGGTTTTGGATGATGAGTCAGGTCGGGTGCTGATGCTGAGACACTGAATGGAAGGCACTCACTGAACAGTGAGGCATGGGGGACCAGAGCTCAGGAGGAAAATTGGATCTGGAAATGTTGCTTTGAAAAGTGCCAGGGTGGAAGTGACTGTTGGCTCCAGGAGCGTTCTTTTTTTTATGTGTATGACCAGATGGCATACCTTCTGAGTTATGTTCAGTTGTGTCCCTCACAAAATTTGATCTTGTGCTGCGGGCACAATGCCACACCATTGTTGAATGACTTGAAGCTATAGTGTCATCGCCCATCCCTGATCCAAACCCTCATTGCCATTAACCCTCCTCAAAGACCCTCAGAAAACTCAGCCGGCAGACAAAGACCTCCCTCCCTAACCGCCTCTCCTCCATGCCTGGGCCTGCTTTCCATCCACCTCTCCGAAGCTCTCTGAACATCAGCCCTCACTCACCCTTTTGTTGGACAAAGCAGATCTAATTGCTTTTTCTTTTACCTTTGAAGTATAAGATCATCCCTACCCCGGGTACGCACCCCTTGCTGGTCTTGGTGAACCCCAAGAGTGGAGGAAGACAAGGAGAAAGGTATGGTTTCTTCCTCTGACCCCAACAGAGTGCCATCTGGGAGACCCCAGACTCACAGCCAACACTACCACTAACTTCCCCCAAGTGGCTTCATGCCTTGTGACATGAGATAATGATACCTCCTCTCATGAGGTTACTCTGAGGATTAGAATCCATCAGGCACTTGGCCCAGGGCCTGTCACAGAAATCACAGCTAAGGCTCCCAGGTCAGACTGAGTTCTGGGATGCCTGTTCCAGCCTGCCCTCCCAAAGGTTATCTTGGTTTGAGACTCATAAAAGAACACATCTGATTAGGATCTCCTAGTCTAGCCCCATCCCTGAGAAGGAAGGGCTGCTGAACAAGAAAGAGAGAGAGAGAATGGGGGGGAAGGAGGGAGAGGATAACCAAAGCACATTTTCTGCCTCCCAGGCCTTTTCAGACTAGGAGTAATGTGAAGACCAGGCAGCAATTTAGAATCCAAGTAGAAAGAGGAGGGAAGAGGAGGTGTTGGAGGAGGAGGTCAAAAAGGAGGAGGATGAAGAAGAGAAGTGGAGGAGGAGGAGGAGAAGGAGGAAGAGGATGGGGAGGAGGAGGAGGGGGAGGAGAAAGGAGAGAAGGGATCAAAGTTAAATAAAAAACTCTATCTAATCCAAGGGTCAGGGCATCCCTCCTGAGTGGCCTAATCCCTCAGGAGCCAAGAATTCACCCCCAGATGTGGTTAGTGTCTCTCAGCCCTGCCCACCCCACCCCCCTCTCATGTCCTTGGGTGAAGGCCCGCTTCCCAGATGTGCCTTTAGAGCTCTAGACAGTTCATAAAGGCAGAATCACATTGCCCGGACCATACAGAATACACAGGAGGAGGTCTCCATGGCAGAAGAGCCTCCGAATCGCATTTCTGTTCTCTGGGTTTCTCTTCCTTGTCCTCTGCTGGAGGTGATGTTCGTGGGGTGGGGGCTGAAGTTTTAGATCACAGGATGACCTTGGAACCAGGAAGTGAGTATGAAGAGATACCAAGTAGCCCTAGAATGTCAGCCATTTCCTCTCTTAAGTTTAAGTAAATTCTTAGTCCCACAAGTGTTGAGGTCAAGAATTGTTCGCCCTTGTGTAATCTCTCTTTCTCTCCCCCCTCTCTCTTTCTCTCTCTCTTTCTCTCTCTCTTTCTCTCTCTCTCTCTCTCTCTCTCTCTCTCTCTCTCTCTC